ACGTTGCAATGTATTATATAACTTATGGATATCATGGTTTTTGTTTAATATATAATTATGTTGAAGTGGTTGCAATTGAGTTGATAAGAGAATATTTAGTAAATGTATTGCTTTAATTGATTTTTGGAAGCTCTTTGAGCTTGATTTGGGTACTGAATTAAAATGACAGGTGATGAGAAGCCGCAGAAATAATAATTAGCTGCCAGTTTTTTCCAGAAAAAGAGACCTCATGAGGTCTCTTTTTTGCATTAATTTTTCCAGATATTTCATAATAGAGACCTCATGAGGTCTCTTTTTTGCATTAATTTTTCCAGATATTTCATAATAGAGACCTCATGAGGTCTCTATTTAACATTTTCTATTTTATAAATGCAGAAAGGAGACCTCATGAGGTCTCTGTTCTTCATTATATTTTCCGTATATTTCATTATAGTGACCTTACGAGGTCGTTAAAAATAAATGCAGAAAAGAGACCTTATGAGGTCTCTCCTTTAAAATAATATAAAATTAAATTAAATAATATCTTAGCGACCTAATGAGGTCTCTTTATTAAAATATAAAATTAAATAATATAATAAAATGGTGACCTCATGAGGTCTCTATATAAAAAATATAAAATTAAATTAAATAATACAATAGTGGCCGCATAAGGTCTCTTTTTTTTCTTAAAATCAGATAATTTGTTGGTGACCTCGTGAGGTCTCCGTTTGGCGACCTCATGAGGCGTCTTTAAAAAGTGACCTGCATTTTACTGACCTACCATTGAGGTCTCTTTTTTGGTCTCTTTTTCCCGAAAATAGACCTTATGAGGTCTCTTTTTGGCCTTTTTTTAGTAGTGTATAACAATTTGACATACTATTTTATCAAACAAAAATATGCATCTCTCATTTTTGCAAACTAAAGAATTTTAAAAACAACAATATCTGCGAAGTAAAATTCATTCCACAACATATGGTTTGCAAATCTTTTTCCAAAGATACACATAATAAAAAAATAAAAAATCAAAGATGTTTACCATTAGAAACTATTTTCCTCCTTAGATAATTTAATAAGAAGGTTACCTGGTAATCTTTAAACGAAATACCATAAAAAATTTTTGTTACATTCTCACTTCGACTTTGCTAAAACAAATTAAAGCAACGAATTATGGAAAAGTAATGCATTTATCTTCTACTTCCATGATCAGATTCTCTCAATCAGTAGAATACAAAAAAAATACTAATAGTATAATAATTTCCTTAAGATTGTTGTTCATCTTGTATTCCAAACATACTTAGAACAAAACTTTGAACATCTTTGTAAGAAAACAAAGTTTAAGAACATTTTCACAACAGGAAAATTAAAACTAGTACCGAAACTAGAATCAGAAACAAATTTTAATAAATAATATACTAAATATTTTTCGTAGGAAGAATTGTTGTAAATATGTGTCTAAAGAATCTTAATGATTCCAACAAACTTTGCAGAAACACGAAGTTACCAAGTTTAATGAACCAGTGAAGAACAAAAGAATAGAAGAACTGAAATTAATTTACAAATCTAAAGTTTGTAAAACACGTACCAGAATCTGAAAAAAATTTAATAGGAAAAATATCAAGTCCACTGAATTCACAGTGTCCCCTTAAGAAAATTATTCCCCTCTAGTATCCGAGGTTTGATTTGGAATATGACCTCTCAGGGTAAAATGATCTCAATCACCAGATTATAGATACCAAAAACTGCGGTGTCAGCGAAACACTCAACGGCAGTAAAGTACACTTAGAATACTAGATTTAGTAGTTCAAGAAGAAGTCCATAAATTATATTTAAAATGAGATGAAATTCCTCAATTTATAGAAAGGATAGTGCAAAAAGGTTCTTATTCTGCCTTACCGGAAAGGTCACAAACCTTTGGAAAAGTCACAATCTTCCCGAAAGGTCATCACCTTTCATAAAAGTCACAACTTTCCATAAAAGTCACAACTTTTCATAACAGTCGCAACTTTTCATAAAAGTCACAACTTTTCATAAAAGTCACAACATTTCATAAAAGTCACAACTCTTCATAAAAGTCGCAACTCTTCATTTTCCATTCACACGTTTTTTAAAATCCAACAGTAAGTTGATATATTACTACTAAATAATTATTTAATGTGTTTGGTAAAGGATTTCAAGAAAGTGTACGGGTTCTAAGTCATATGGGTTCCAATCTCTTTTTTAATGGGTTTTGATATTATTCGACTAATTTGTGATATTTGAGCAGAATCAATTATGTAATTTTTGGGAATGGGAGGATGAAAAATCCCCCCATGAGCTATGGATATCATCAGCAATCAAAAACAAAAATTAGATGTTTGTGATATTGAGAGAAATTATTTGACGAAGAAGATAGCTGATTTTGAAGTTAGTGCTGCAAATAATGGTGCAACTATAGTAGAGTCGAGTAAAAAAATAAATATTCTTAAATGTGAAAGGATATGTTGATCGATAAGGTGGCTAATTTCAAAGTTTGTATTGCGATGGATGTTCTATAAATAGAACGGTTGAGAAAAAATGTGTTGCGACAAAGATTGATCATCATGTGCTTGTTTAGTTTGCTTATTGCTCTAATGACATATGTTATTACGCAACCTTAACTTTTAATTTGGCATATATATGAATGTAGTATCATGTTATGTTAATTTTGGATATAGTTTAGTGCCTATGTTATTTAGGTACTTTGACAACCATTGAAAGCTAGCTTATGTTATTTAGGTACTTTGTCAAGTAATTTTTAATGTAATTTTATTGCTGATTTTTATCTCGGTACATTGTACATTGTTAATTACTAAAAGTTATTTTTAATATAATTTTATTGTTTTAGTACTTTGTCAACCATTTTTTCCAACATATATGTGCCTTTAAAGTCAATTATTTATCAAAACGTTTTTTTTATTTGACAAAACTACAAAGAACTCAAATAACTTATCATCAAACGGGGGAATATGACACAGCTGCACACTAGCTCATATGACACAAATAATACAGATGCACACTAGCAATATGACACAAAAAACTTATAATATGTTGTATAAATTTCAGAGTTGCACTTTACCAACCATAGAAACATAATATCATTAATAATCACAATGCATAAACAAATTCCAAGCAGCAGCAATACAAAAGTCCATTGAAAAGAACTGTGATGTCAACATGCACTAAGGAAATACACTCTATAACACAAAACTTCAATATCAACATAGTGCATAACCTAATATTTCAACAAATCTAGCATCAATTGTCATTCTATTACAGAATAGGTAATTGTCATTTTTTAAGGTTAAAATAATTGTAATAACAAAAATCACATGATAACTGCTTTAACCTTTAAAATGTCAAGGCATGACAAAATGAAAGACTTAACCTTTAAAATGTCTAGGCATCACAAAAGAAAAACAAAACAACTTTCATATTTCAAAAGAATTGGGGGCTAGTTCCCCTTGACCTTTTCTTGCAATTATCGTGATAAGTTTTCTCGCGTCATTTTTTTAAATGATTGCATGTAACAACTTCCTTTCCTCGCCAAGTTATCTTTGTTGGTGAAGTTGACACCCTAATTTCATCTCCGGTGAACTGAATTCTTCTACCACCAGTTGATGACGTCAGTCTGCCCTTTCTCATGGACAACAATGTATCAGCTTCAGAGATGGTTTCCGGCCTCAATATTGAATCTTCATCATCACCAATATCAGGTCCATAAGCTGTTGACTGTTGAGTATCAAATTGAGTTCGAAAGGCTGATTGTTGAGATGGTTGTGTACCAAATTCAGGTTCATAATTGTTGTTCCTTGAGGCATGGACAAATTGTTGTGTTCCAGTTGACGTCTCACCAATTTTTTCTTTGCCTTTGCCTTTCTTTAAAATCTGTTCAGCCCCTTTTGCCTATCAAACAAAATATTTTTAATTCATATTTCTAATTATTGTAGTCCAAGAAAATACAAATCTATAGCAGCCCTAAAAACTCAAACAGTCACAAAAGTTTCAATTTCCAAATATTCAAAATTGAAGTCTACAAAAATGTCCATCTAAAAACCTTCACAAAAACTATGATAAAAATAGTGAAACTATTGCAATCTCCAAAAATACACAATTAATGAAACTTAAAGATTTACCTAAAATAAGAGAATAAGTTAAAAATATACCTTATAACAACTTAGTGCGTTGTGATTTTGTTACCCACAATTACTACATGTCATTATAGAACCTTTTCTTGATGAACTCCATTCACCTTTTCTTTTTCTTGCTTCATCTGTTATTCTATCTCTTTTTTTCTTGGGTCTTTCAATAGTTTTAATCATATCAGGTGGTTCCATTGCATGAGCAGGATCAACATTCCAAAATTGTATTCTTCTAACAGGTTGTATTTTGTGCTTGTATGCCAACAAATATGCTTTTTTACTGTAAAACCAGTGAATTTGTGTCTCAAGAACAACTTTGTTATGCAAAAATGCATTTATGGCATGAGGGCAGGGAATTCCAGACAAGTCCCACAATCTGCAGGTGCATCTAGTATGCTCTAAGTTCACAGTATGCCTATCATCATCTACAGACACTTCATAACTATGATCACCATTAAAGTTCACAGTGCATCCATGTGCTATTGCCCTATAATCACTATACAACTTCATGCATTGTGGATTGTATCCAGTTTTCCAATGCCTAACTTTGGCTTCATTTTCAGCCAACCTAGTCATAACCTTAATCCTTATTTCCTCCAACATTTGGATAATTGGAATACCTCTTGCTTCTAAAATTCAAGCATTGAATGATTCTGTGAAGTTATTGGCAACCATTGTGTTCTTACATTGCGTGTCAAAGTAGGCTCTACACCATGCCTGAGGAGGTTTACTAATCAAGTCCTTAGCAACATCTTCATCCAATTGGCCTAGCTTGTTTGAGTTGGTCTTTGAACTCTTCATCATATGTGCTCCAAGCACACCACCACATCAACTTTTTCATTTCCCCGCTCCTCCACTTTTTAGTCAATTAGCTTCGATATGCCTAACACAAAATCTTTGATGAGCTGCAGGAAGTACATTGCTCACAGCATCTAGTAACCCCTGTGAGATTAAAAAAAACATAGTAATGAAGTAGAGGTCACGATTAAAACATAAAATAAGTCAAAAATATAATGAAACATGTTTAAAAAATGATAAACCTTTTGCATGTCAGAAATAAAAGTCACTCCACTTCTATCTTTAAGGTCTAAAGACCTCTTCAAAAGCTCTACAAACCATGACCATGTCTTGGTAGTTTCTTTGTCAACCATTGCCCAAGCAATTGGATAGAATTGAATCACAGAATCTTGTCCCACTGCAACCAACAATTGACCTTTGATCCTATCCTTCAAAAAAGTACCATCCAAACCAACGAGTGGTCTTAATCCACTTTTCCAACCTACCTTCAAGGCATTAAAACATATATACATCCTCAAGAACTTTTTTATACCTTGCTCAAAAGTATCTTTTGAGATATTTATTTCAACATCGGTACCTGGATTAGACTTTTTTTTTAATTCAGCCCCATATGCTTCAAGTTTGTTAAAGTCATCCTTGAAACTCCCGTCTAGTTTTTCAAGGATCATCACCTTATTCCTATTTAGCTTTGATTTTGTAACATTCAAATCAAAATCAGTTGATAATTCTTCTCTCATTTCCTTCACAATGTACTTAGGATCTCTCTGTAATTTACTTTTGAAGTATTGAGCTAATGTCTTCGAATCAACCCTCGAATTTTTGTAGCATGGAAAACAAGTATGTTCATTTATCAAATTTTTTATACTAAATCCAGAAGCCCCTTTTTTATCCTGTGAAATATTACATTTAAAAGGGCATTCAGCTTGACAAACATACCTAGCCCTGTTAGGATAAGTTTTTTCAATCTTCAATCCACGTTTACTAGCTATAGCATAGTAGTTCATTGTCTTTCTAGCTTTCTCAACGGTGGCAAATGACATCCCCTTCTCTAAATTCTTGTAGTGCTCTAAATTATCACTTACAGTACTGTTTATTTGTTTCTCAAACAACCGAAGCCTTTCTTCATCATGCTCTACATCAGAAGGAATATCAACCTCACAATCAGAATCTTCTGGTACATGTTCATTATCTGATGCGACTTCAACATCTACATGATATCTCTCTAAATGATAAAGAATGTTAAGGGTATCAACTGTCAAGTTCGTATCATCTACAACAAATAAGTCAATATTCTTAAACTCATGACAAACCAGACATTGTAAAGATCGAATACCATCATCATCTTCAACTATGTAGTATCTACCAGATGGTCCAACAACAAAGAGTTGTTTCACTTTAAAATAACCAAGTTCTTTCTTAAAATCTTCACACAAGTCTTTGTACGACAACAAGTGTGGATCAAATTCATGCCATGTATGCATCAACTTCTTAGTGTACAATAATTGGGGAGAAAAGACCCATTCACCCCCATAGTGAAAAAGTATTGTTACTTTAGCAATCACTCGTCAGTAATGTACACATGCCAAAAAAAACAATTGAATAAATGAGGGACCAACAACCTACAACAATAAAATATAGTCAATATGATGATTAAACTATCCAAAATAACTTAAATCGAAGAACAAGAAACAAATCTTGCTAACAACTTGTCTACGATTCATGTCTGATTACTTGATGGAGGGCAAAGGGAGAAAGATTGAAGGAATGCAAGAAACTGAATAATATAGTGTAAAAGTTTTGTAGAAAATACACTTCAAAACCACAACAAGAATAAACAAATAACATCATTAAAAGACATATTTTAACTAATAAACAATGATTTCCTTTATACTATTGTCACATACACTCTCCCAAATTTAAAATATGAACACTATTCAGGACCACAACGAAAAGAAACAAACAAGATTAAGTTGAGAACATTAACTATAAAATAGTGTTAAAGTCATAGCAAAACAATCATAAAAAATTTCTAAATATGACAACAACGAATACAATATGGGACCATAACAAATAAAAAAAAACAAGATAATTAAATATTGAGAACTTTAACTACAAAATAGTGTTAACCCACTTACTGAACAATCATAAAGGATCCCTAAATTTGACAATGAATACAATATGGGACCACAACAAAAAGAAACAAACAAAGATCATTAAAAGTAAAAAACATTACTTATTAAACAATGCAGTTACACATAAAAAAATAACAAACCCACATGACTTAGAACCCAATATGTACACTTTCTTGAAATCCTTTACCAACCACATTAAATAGCTATTTAGTAGTAATATGTCAACTAACCTCTTTAATCATCATAAACGAGATTGGAGAAAGAACAGTAAATTCGTCGGAGAAGAAGGAGTTGGTCTTTTTCACTTCTATTCTTAGATTGGATTTTTCGGGTAAAAGTGAATTGAAAAATTGGGTTACTAATGGGTTATATGGGATATTTTTTTAATTTGGGTGGGTCTTTACTTGGGTGGATCTTTATTTCGGTGGGTTTTTTATTTAATAATTTCTCAGATTTTTGATTTTTATTATAAATAAAAAATGACGTGGACGAATTTTAACCTGACACGTGTAAAAAGTGATTTTGTAAAATCACCGTTAAAAAAATGGCATGAATGAGCCTTTTTTTAAACGATAATGGAATGAATGAGCCATACTTTTAACGGATGGCATAAATGAGCCTTTTTTGAAAGTTCGATGGCATATTTGAGCCTTTTCCCAAAAATATATATTATCAAGAAAGAATCAATTAATTGGACCTTCCTGGAAGATTGTGAACTAGTACAAATGCATACAATATTATTATATTATAAGTATAATTGTACATTGAAAAAGGATTGAGGTTCATGATTAGTAAAATACTAGATCTGATTATATTTATTCAAATCTAACTTAGAAATATGCTTGGAATCTGAAATAACATCAAACACTTTTGAATAACCATACAATTTAGATGGAATGACTTCCGTCACTTATTGAAAAAAGTCAAAGGCAAGAGGCAATCCTAAAGAATTGCATACTGCAACCATGAATCACGATGGTCACTTTTGACAAATGATTCCAGAAGGAATTTGCTAATAAAAGCACAATAACATGTAGTGCAGACATAAGCTACCAACATTATCAAGTAAAATCTTGGTTACACATGAAAATGACTTCTCAGAATTCCTTTAGCATGAAACTTACACATTTCACAATGCTTAACCTCCTATCTTTAACACTAATTTCTTGTTGATACATAACACCTCCTATCTTCAACACCAATTTCTTGTTGATACATAACTCCTTCTTTGAATATCTCACCAGCATTCTCAAAAAGAAAAAAACTCAACAATCAACTAAAATAGCATCTCCATAAAATCAGGACCATAGTTTATTCAGATGTGCATAAAATTTTGAAATTCCAAAAGTCTAACACCATCGGTTATGACAGAAGTTTCTGCCCCATATAAATTTTCGTTTCTTCTGCTCCATTCCACTATATGTAGAGAGTAGGGAGCTGCTAACTTATCATTTTGAAATTTATTTCAACCGTGAGTGATACCTTGATTTTAAGGGAGAAACGAAGATGAACAACATTATAATACGTGCAAAATGAGAAAGGGCCTCTTGTTGTATATAACAAAGATAAGGATATGATAATAACTCTACTTACTTTGAAAGAATTCATAGCAGTTGGAAGGATCTTTGCACAGAATGCACGACAGAGTATATTGTAACACTATGATTCCTTTTATATAAGAGAAAGAGAGATTGAGCTTTATTTCTAGCAAAACACGTGTAAATGATAAAAATAAAATCCAAATTCTTGATTCAACAATTGAGTGGAGCAATAAGCGAGATGAATTCAAGAGAGAATCAAGGTGATATCATTTCAGGTTTATATCAATGGTGTTGTCCCGAAAGCTAATACATAATTAATCAACATAAAGGTGAACATTCACCTAATTTCATCTTCTAGGTTAAAGAATTTTAGCACAATCCATGATAACAAGTGCATCTCGATGGAATACTTTTATTTATTTATCATACTGTTATTTGTAGTTTTGATGATTTGACAAACTTAGGGACCTCATAAAGGTACCGGGTTTTATACTTGAGTATTGCAGGTTTCTTATTTGAAGTATTGCAGATGAAACAAACCCAGGGACCTAGTAGAGGTACCAGGCTCTCATGATGATGAGCCAGTCGACTGCCAGCTGGAGACGGTACAGAAAGTTGGTGCACACTTCCCGATGGCGTCAGAAAGTGTGACTTTTCTAGCCAATGGCAAAGAAGTTTAGGAAACTGACTTGCCCATATAAAAGGCACTTTCCTAAACATTTTTGTTTAGTTTTTGCAACTTGATAAAAACTTTTCAAGAACTCTTGCAAAAGCTACTATAAAGCAAAGGAAGAATTATTCCAAGAACAACAACAATATCTGGAGCTTTTCATCTAGTTATTTAGGAATTTATTCTCTTGTTATTAAACTGTAAACCGCTCCTAAATCTATAAAGGAATTGGTGTGTTGTGTTAGAAGTCTAGGCTGTCCAGGTGGGATAGCTTAGTGGGTAGATTGTTTTTCTACTTAGGCTTGTTAAGTAATAGAGGACTATTGCTTAACTGTAAGATTGATAACTCTTTCTTACATTTTCTGTAATCGTGTTTCGCTTTTGCTTTTGAAGATTAGTGAAAACGATTGAAAATCATGTGAATTACTTGATATGCCGATTCGTGTCTCTACTCCGGTGGGTGAGTTTGTGATAGTTGAGAAGGTATATAGGTCTTGTTTGGTAAACTTTGTGGGGAGCAACACTTATGTAGATTTGCTTATCTTAGAAATGGATGATTTTGATGTGATTCTGGGTATGACTTGGCTTTCTCCGCAATTTACAATCTTAGATTGTAATGCTTAAACGGTGACGTTAGCCAAGCCTGGGACAGACCCGTTAGTGTGGGAGGGTGACTACACTTCCAATCCGGTACGTATCATCTCCTTTCTTCGTGCTAAGAAAATGATTAGTAAAGGGTGTCTAGCTTTCTTGGCACATCTCAAGGATGACACTACCCAAGTACCTTCGATTGAGTCGGTTTCAGTAGTTCGTGAGTTTCTGGATGTGTTCCCTGCAGATCTTCCTGGTATGCCACCGGATAGGGATATTGACTTCTGTATTGATCTTGAACCCGGTACTCGCCCCATTTCTATACCCCCTTATAGAATGGCTCCCGCGGAGTTAAGAGAGTTAAAGGCACAACTTCAAGAGTTATTGAACAAAGGCTTCATTAGACCAAGTGCATCCCTTGGGGGTGCTCCGGTTTTGTTTGTAAAGAAGAAGGATGGGAGTTTTCGAATGTGTATAAACTACAGACAACTAAACAAGGTAACCATAAAGAACAAGTATCCTCTTCCCCGCATTGATGAATTGTTCGATCAGTTACAAGGTGCTTGTGTCTTCTCTAAGATTGACTTG